AATACTCTTAATGTTGCAAAAACAAAATACGAAAAGACCAGTAATAAAATGAGTTCCATGAAAGAAAATAACAACTAAGCCACATAGTTCAAGTCCTACAATGTTGAAAACAAGTGACCGCTGCCAAAATAATAAAAATCTTAAACAAAACTGAGCCAAAAGTTCTATTTAAGAGACAAATGAAACCGCAAACTTAAATTTCATAGATCGCTAAGCAAGTATATTTGCTGAGATATTCCAATTTAACTCCCGCAACGAAAATTTTGCTGTTTGTTTACGGATCCTTCACTTTCCATCCCGTCCCCGTTTCGTTTCAGTAACGTTCACGTTTTGGCACACGATCCAGGTTCCTGAATAAACAAATGGTTAGGCCAACTTGCTAACTTTCACTGGCTGGCCACAAGCCAATCCGCAGAAACATCGCTTACAACGAAAACATGCCTTAAAAATTATTTACTCCTCCTCCGGTTTATTTTCAAACAATCAAATAAAATTTCCAAATTATTTCTCTCCTTAATGATATAAACATTATAAAATATTTTTGTTTTAATCGTTTTATTAAATAGTCTATAGCTATAAAGGCTAGTAATACCGGTTACAATTAGTTTCCTCATAAATAAAGTCTTAATTACGTTTACTTATTTTATCTTACAAGAAATTATGACAATTGATTAATGCGCTTAAATCTTTAAAAAATCTTTTTAATTTGAATTTGTAGGCATGTTTCTAAGCTTGGGTAAATTTGAAGTGTTTGAATATAGCAGTGTTGGAAGTGGTCGGTAAATTGGATCAGGCCTTCTTATATCTTAAAAGTGTTTGAGTAAGGTTTGAGTTTTTTGAAGAACGGAATACGATTTGTTGCTTAAGATTAAAAATGTATTAATGCTTCTGCATCCAATATTTTATTGCGCGGTGTAATTAAAATAATCTATTAACCTATCTCATGTTTCATTAGCAAAAAGTAAATTGAACTAATAATACAAATTTGTATTACTGTCGTATATAATACATAAAAGTTATTCATTCCGGTGTTATTTTTAGCGCACAAATAGTGTCCTATTACTATTGTACGCTGGCACAATTGAGTAAATAACTCATTTCACAATAAGATATGACATTAAGGCAATGTGGGGTTAACTATAGGATTATTTAACTTAGCTATAAAATGCACGTGTTAAGCAATTATCTCAAAGGCATGTCTTCAAGATAATGTCTTTACAGATAACTTGTACAAAACAACTTAATGATTAATAGTTTATACTGAAATAACTGCTTATAATTCTATATAAGGTTGTTTTAATATTGTAAAAGCTAAGTAATGAAGAATACATTTAGTGATGAATATATTAGAAATAAGACATGGCTAGCAGCCAATGATGAGAACATTGTAAGAATACATACTGCTAAAGATGCACATATCGGATAGACGTATCCATAAAAGCTTTTATACTATCACATGGCATTTTCTATGCAAATTCCTTTCAGATTTTACGTAAGCATTTTGCATGTGAAGACTATAAGAACATAACAATGTAATTTGTTTAGTTTACTCGATTCAGGTTTAAGATATGTATACAGTTTGCTCATAATGTATGTGCTACATTATTCTCAGTCCATTTAGAAATGTACTAAAAATGTCCGCAATGAAGATAAATATACATTAAGGTTTATGTAAACTTGGTATTTTTATAGAAATCAGTGTTTGCAATTTAATAAAAAAAGTTTACAGAGATATAAATACTATAAAAGATTTGAGGGTTTTATACGCTCGCTGACAAATTACAAATATAGACCATTGATTCTCGAGTCCCTTAACGCAGCGTCTTCACCTTATCTTAATATTTAATTCATTTGAGTCTCGCTAGTGAAATCGCTGATGGCAGTGTTCTGTCTTCGATCAAATTATGCGTCAGGCTCACGCATTTTCTTGATGAATGTGTACGCAAATGCGCATCAACTTGAAACAGAATTATATTTATCTGACGGGCGCAAAAGGGAAGCACGAAATTCGTTTTCCGTGGAAAGTTAAGTGAGTTAAATCTCCAAATAAAAGGTGGGTTGTGGAGTCAGCAGGCCCAGTTGCTGAGTTGCTATGCTAATGAAGTTCCCACTGCCACCCCTCGGAACAAAACAGTCGTTATCTCTCGCGATGATCTAAATCTAAAGGGCCCGTTACTAGTGATTACAGACGCCTCGAGACATGCGATTGTTCCCGCGATAGCAACATTCTCTTGTTGTGAACTAAATGTTACCCAAAATAATTATAGACCGATGAAAACCCTTCCCAGTTTGTAGGTTAAGTGGTTTATATTGTTTTGGTATATATTTTAAAAGGATAGCACATGCCCTAGATATTTAAATTGACTGACCCTGTTCAATGGGGGCGCCGTCTAGTTTAATCAACGGTATCGTTGAGGGCAGTGCTTTTCCTTCAGCCTTGAAGACCATGTATTCGCTTTTACATACATTATAGACAAGACCATGATTGCGAGCATAGCTCATGCATATATCCAACAGTTTCCCTATCCCACACGCCGAGGCACTCAGCAGCACCATGTCGTCTGCGTAACTGATATTGTTGATATTTACTCCATCAATATGGCATCCGGCACGCGTGCTGCTGAGCTCCTCTATTAAAGCGTTAATGTACAGGTTAAAGAGCTTAGGTGAGGTTAATCCACCCTGTCTCACGCCGCATTCCAACCTGTACGGGGACGAGAAACTATTTGACCATCGCACGACGTTCGACTGGTTTCTATACCAAAATTTAAAGATATTGTTTACTCCTTCCGGAATACCAGTATCCCGCATCTTTTTCCACAGGATATCATAATGTACCAAGTCGAACGCCTTGGATAGGTCGAGAAAACATGCATAAACTGGTGTTTTTCGCTGCGTATAGTACCTGACAGTCTGCTTGAGACACAAAATGGCAGACTCAGTGGATAGTCCCGGCCTGAATCCGAACTGATTGTCATGTGGTTTAATATAATGGTCAAGTTGCATATCAAGCAGACCATCAAGCACCTTAGCTGTAACGGTAGCAAGAGAAATCGGCCTGTAATTGGACTTGTCAGAAACGTCACCCGTTTTGTTCTTCACGATAGGCACAACCATAGTTTTTCATCAGAGCTGCCGGCAGGTAAGAATGTGTAATACATAGATTATAAAAAGTCGCAAGCAGTGCCGGAAGCAAGGGGCCAGCGTGCTTTAAATGCTCTATACTAAGCCCATCATGGCCTGGGGACTTACCACGCGACATTGAGGTAATAATCTTGTTTACGTCCTCAGATGTAAAACAAATTCCGATCCCCCGGTCACTCGATGCTTCCCCTACCTCTGACTGTGTAGAACCTAACGGGGACCTTACAGCAAAATGATCCCTAAACGCATTAGCAATGAGACCATGTTCGCTAATGCCATCGACGCTCACAGGAAGACTCATCCCGCTATTAAATTTGTTAGTAGCCTTCCAGAATTGTCTAAAGTCATGCTTGAAGTGATGCGAAGCCAGGATATCCATTTTTATCTGCTCGGCGTTGTTTTGGCACCACTTCAAACGGGACTTGAAAATACTCCGGCTACTTCGCATTTCCTCGTACACATGACCTTTCATTGGCTTACCGTACCATACCCAGACTAAAAACGCAGATCTAGCCTCCCTGTGAGCCTCGCGTACATGTCTGTTCCATCCAACCACCGGCCGCTTCCTAAAACACCTGTTTGTGCGGCTAGACTCCGAGGCGGCATTAGTTAGAATATATATAATGTCACTATAGAGCTTATCTATATACATATTGTGAGTTACATTTTTACACAAATAATTACAGCATTTAATTTCATTACACAATTCTAAGGTACTTAATTTCTCGTGACATAGCTTACTATATAAGTTTATCTGTTCCGGCTTTTTGTCGCCCCATAGTATATCTTTCGCAATTATGTTCGAGTTACATATAAGTTTTGGTTTTACCACCCCTAAGTCACACTCTATTATCAGGGGATAGTGGTCCGACCAAAACACGTCATACTTAACATAAACATTAACAATTGAAGCTAGCGCAGACATGGTGGCTATACAGTGGTCTAACCATCGTCTCGACCCATGGGCCTCACTAATAAAAGTATATGTATCTGACGAAGGGCCTAAAAACTGTACATCCGCACACGTCCATTCTAACTCATTACAAAAACTTATAAGTTCGTTGTAAAAACAGTTCATTTATATGTGAGTTATAGTCTCCGAGAGCATATACTGACTCGATATTTTCATTTTTAACGATAGCACTCACCGAACTGAGGCAATCCGTGAAATCCGGAACGTTTATCAGTTTATCCGTTGGCATATACACACTAAACACTAGTAATGACCTTTGGTGTAACACTATCTTTATAGCACAGACTCTAGGGTTGTCACAGCGCACTACAGACACATTTTGGAACACACTTTTCCGCCAAAGCAGGGCTACACCTCCATAAGGCCTGCCTCGCAACAGACCCGCCTCGGTGTCTACTGCCGATGTGCCCGTACAGCCGAAATCCGTATCAATGGTATTAAGAGACGATAGTTCATGTGGAAGAGTCCACGTTTCTTGCAATGCGACTATATCTGAAGTCAAACAAAGCTGTCTTACATTTTCCATTGATCGTTTTTAAACCTTTACAGTTTAAAACTTACAAATTTATTTATCTGCATTTCCAGTTTTCGCTTTCTGTCTAAAATTAATAAATCGCTTAAATATTACCCCTTGAGGCCAGAGCGATTCATCCAAAAACATTGATGTCATACTATCGGGCACGAAGAATTAAAGGCATTGTAATTCCTTTCACTGGGGAATACAACTTTATTCAGTTTTTTATATTTTCATTCGTTTTGTTACGTATATACTCCGTTATATCTTTCTCCGTCGTATCTTTATGTACCTTAGTAATATAGATCGGAACATATCGCACCGCCGCTTTAAATCTGCTGTCTTTGTCGTTTGATTTGCCCGACATACCGAGGTATCTATACATCTTAGTATTATGCTTCCGCCGCTGAACCAATTTCCATTCGCCGTCTGAATTCATAACCTCGGCAAAGGATAGTGTATTCGCCGACTGTATATTATTTAATGCGTTGACGTCTACGCTCGGGTTAGCTTCGGTCGGTGCCGGCGATCGGAGCGATGCGTCCTTCCCCCCGCCGCTACCGCGTTCCGCGGGGTCCCAGCGGTCTCCGCTCGAGCCGCTACGATCGGCCGTTATGTTCTCACTCGATTTTAAGGACATACCCTCAGCATGATTTGTAATTATTAAACTTCTGTATTTGTTAAGTTCACAGGACTTTTGGGATTGAATATCACACTCCATTTGCTCGCCGGAATTCGATATAATGGTATCATTTAGAGATAAGCCCATAGGCCCGCTATTTCTATAAGCCCCCCTTCGCATGTTGACTTTAACAGCTGAAAACGGCGGTGAAGCTGACTTCGAACCCAAGCATTCTTTTTTCACCTCCTGTAGCTGGTCTTTGGTTACGTATGAAGCTTTTATATTTTTAATTTCGGCTTGCACCATCGTTAAATCCTTCAAAAGTTTCGAGATATCCAGATGATCGACTCCGATTGGGGGCAAAATTTCAAGGTTCCGTGCCACATATACCGGTAGAATGTCTGGTTCTGTTCTCTTGAGAAGACTAATTATGTCATACAGAGTTCGCGCTTCCTTTCCTTTCCCTTTCCTGCTTGTTTTACGATGCTCGACAGGAATAGATTCAAACAGTAACGAACTTGCTTCTTCAATTTGTTCTGATGAAAACGTCGATACACAAATCCTTACTAACGTTTCTTCATCTAAGGACTACTTGAATTAATTTACTCCAGATTTATTATATCATATAAACAGCTAGTACTAGCGACGTCTTCTTGTTTGTAATATGTTCGTAGGACACAGTTATCCATGTTGGAAAGTTGATTAAGTAAAAGATAACTAAACTGCTCTAGAAAGAGGCCATCAAAGTTTTACAAGACGAGATCCTATCTTTATTTGATGATGAGATCGTGTTAAAGTTGGAGCTTTGATATCGAGATGCTCATTTCAGTTAGAAAATTGTAAATTACATTTGTTTCTAAGATTTCGCTTCTGTAAACTTAATTTCGAAATAACTCATAACGGTACTAGAAATATAATTCTGTTTTCGGCTTTTTGTGCCTTTTATGTCTACTGAGTCAAATATTAGCTGAGGTCAGTGATGTATCAAAGTGAGAACATAAAGAATAAAAGCATATTTTATTAATATGATATAAAATTAGATAACTCGTACGTATATATGTGACTTTTACTTGAGTAAGATTTTTTTTATTAAACGTAATAATCTTTACTATGTAATAATCAAGTAAAAGTATTCATAAACTTATTAACAGGCGTAATTTTATCATAAAATCCGCAACGTAATAGCAACGGTTATTTCACTTGAAACGATTACATTAAATAAACATCATCAAAGGGTAGATATGAAAAGCATGAGTTGTATATTTATAAAAACCAGATCAGTGTCGTCGGATCAGCAAAAAAATATACCAAAAATAAATGATTTATTTATAAACTCGAACACAGGCAGGCAGGTAGGCTTATGTGACAGATTTTTAATATATATATTTTCAAGATTCAAAAATTTTACTACTAAAATAATGTCCAGTTTTTTTAGATATCGCATCAGTATCAATCAGGATCTTATAGACTATAAAACTCGGAAAGATAAACAAGTGAATATATTTTTAGATATAAAAGTTTTCATCTAAAATAAGGGTGCGTAGGTTGTAAAATAAACGTTTAGTAGAAGGCTGTACTGAAGTCGTAACTCGATGTCATTGAATCCAGCGCTAAATAATTGAAAGGAAAGAGTGAAGGCTAAAAGCCTGATGATGCTAACAAAATTCTGTTTTACAACTACATAACCCACGAATTCTATCGCCGTGGTAATTGACTTATTGTCAGAATATAGGCCTCGGTCGTATGAAAATCAATGGGACATTTTTGTTATGATTCGTTGAAGTTTATTTAATACTCTGAAACATTAATATGAATTTTATGTTTGAATTTTAATAATAAATAAGTAACCTATAAGGTTACTATATAATATTTTGTATAGTAAATAATGAGTCAGTGGTGGCTCAGTGGTTAAAGGGCCCGCCTCTCGTCGCCGAGGGCGCGGGTTCGATCCTGGTCCGGGCAAGTACCAATGTGATTTTTCCGAATCATATGTACTTTCTAAGAGTATTTAGACATCACTGATTAATGTTGATTCCCAAAAAGAGGGTTGATGTCAGGCAGGCGGCCGGTCGTAAAAACAAATAGCCAAAAACTTTTCACAACATGTAAGGCAGACCCTGGCTATAGCTGGGAAGTTGCCAGGCAGAAGAAGAAATTATGTATAGTAAATAATATCCCTATTAAGATAAACGCTAATTAAACAGACGAACTTTGTTGTCTCTAGTCGACGATGTTAACTTTTTGTTCTATGGCTTAAAAAGTAGAATTAAGCGACGTCCATTTTGATTAAATAAATAATTAAAGAACGCTTAATTATTATACAATATTAATTATATAAACAAAGATTAATGCATTTAAAATGATGAGACAAAGAAACACGTTAGTGACTCGGTTCTAAATATATGAAAATTTATTTAAGCGAACGACAACTTCATTTCGAACTTTTGAAACTGTCATTAGGTTAAGGATATAATCGAATCTAAGTTATAAAAGTAATAAACTTACTAGGAAACTTTAGATTTATATTTTTTTAATAGTAAAATTTGTTTTTGACTACATTAAAATGGTACGTTTAGTTAGAATGTATACAAAATAATAGATTTATTAAGATTTTCATAAAGCTGATGATGAAGCAAGTTGATAAGGTTGAATTAAATATATAATATGAGAGAGTAAAGGTCCGTTTGTTCTAGTTTCATGTATGTAACGATTGATAGAGGTTATTATTTTGCAGCGAGATAGTTCATGGTAAGGCTGACATGCTTATTTTTCATTCCGTAAAAATTTCATCCCGGCAAACATTTTTCATTAAGTGAGCAAATGTGGGAAAAACTTTATATAAAATATGACATGATATTATATTTATATTTACAAAATAATAATTATTTAGTATTTTAAATTGTATTTTTTTATTCTTCTAAAATAATTACACTAACTCGTTTTAATACAAAAGTTAAGCAAATATAATTCTTTACAGTGATAGTTATTAAATATGTATTTTTAAAGTTATATTGCAATAGGAAAACTATATATTATTTATAAACACGATAGTTTCCTCTTATAACTTGATCCAACGGAGAGGAGTTTCAATGTTCTGGAGGCAAATTGGCTCCTTTCATGTCAATTTCCGGAATGTCTTATTACAATCGGGTGCTGTTTGTTGGCTAACAGAACTTGTAGATAATTAAGTCATCCTGGAAGAGGTGCCTGATCTAGACTCTGTGGAATCTGGTGATGTACAAAGGATATCAAGATAGCTATTTAATCAGTGCTCGCTGGAAGTTTTAAAGCTACTGTTCCTCGCTCACTCCCTAGAACTGCTTTTTGTGGCTCGAGATGTTTCATTACAAGAATTTTATGTAAAGCGAAGATATCTCCTTATATTGCTATCAGTGTGAGTGTCGTATTACGTAAGATCAATGTGTGAATGGTTTTTTATTCAAAGTCATAGTCATCTTCGATATCTTATTTCAATTTCAACGCTCCATTGATTGCAGATGCCGGGAGCGGTCTTCTTTTGCAGTCACGATGAGCGAGCGAGACGTGCTTATGTGTTGTCATCCGAGTAGAAGGAGGACAGAATCTATTTTTCTATGGGGAGACGAAAATATCGAAAAAAGTTATCACATCAAAGTCTCCGCGTCCGTAAAGGTCTCATTAAAAGTGCTTTGTGAAAGAAGTCTCTCCAATTTATAAGGTAGTAAGCGGTAGATTGGTTGGAAAGTAAATAACGACATTCCCTGTTGTTTAAGAGAAGTCCCTACCGACGGGTTAGATGCTTCTTGTTAGAACGAGGCCCGACCATACCGTATTTATTATTGGGACCGAGAAAAGGTATTCAATGGCAACGAAAAAATAGGAAAGCACTCTACAATCACGACACTCGAGATATTTATAGAGTTTCTTTAAAGACGCCTTGTTATTTATAAATAGGAACAAAATTCCATTCAAACTTTAAATATGTTTGATATAAGTAAAAGATAAAATTTTTAAATCATTCTATTTTTAATTAAGTTTCTTATTCGTTATTTAAAAGTCTGTAAAAAATATTGATTTTTCGTGACAATACAAGTATATAAAATATTCTTCGGAGAAACGTTAAAATATATTCTTACTTAGCGAACCCCGGAACATGCTACCAAAACTTCATATAACTTTATAATTTTTTCTTTGAATACAGAAACTTTTTATAAGTTCGCAGAATCAAGTAGTTCAACGTCCAAAATTTTTGGTTTGCAAGTTAGAGGAATCTACAAAATATGAATCCCAAATTCGAATTCCGCGCTTCGGAACTTACGATGGAGTTTCAGAATCTGTCAATGGCATAGTCGTGGAGTTTGCTTTTAAAGCATGACATTATTTTTTTATTACGGCGCGTGAGCAAAAATGTACTTATTTCCCGCTCCGTTGATCTGAAAATGTGACATCAGTGTGTGAAGGCGTGCCTATGAGCGTATATCGCGATATTTACGAGGTGGCGTACTCTATATCTCAGGCTCTTCAAATTACGGTCACTGGTTTTTATTCTGAGTGATACGTAAAGATATCGACAATACCTACAAAACAAAACCTACAGAAACGAATCACCGTTTTCACATTTCATGTATTTATCTATTGTAAAATATACAATTTATCAATCTAAACAAATCACTAAACCGTGCAACGTAAAATCCGAGACTGATATATTGATGTTAAAAAAATAACATAAAAAAAAAATATTTTTATCGTACGTTTTTAATTAACACATTTTGTCGTCGACATTAGTTAGCCTAACGAGGCTGTTGTTAACTGAAAAACGGTTATGTGTGAGCGTCAAGTGACAAAGGGTTTGTTTAATGATGTGCGTTCGGCCGCTGTAACCTTAGAGCTCTGTGGGATATTCAGCTGATTATTGTTATTACTGCTCTGAAATTGATTGACGTCTCGTCACATAATATCCTTGTATGTACCAAACTGCATATTAAAAACACGAAATCATATTCAGTTTACCTACACCCGGAAAATATTAATGATAATTAAAAACAAAGCTTCATAATATTTTTGAAATTCAAAATGAATTTAATAAATAATACTGCGATAAGTTTTTTTTAAATCCGACAAAGAGTACACTCGTATCCGAACATCGAAAACAGAATAAACCCGCAGCATTGAATGATAAAACATCTAAAACGAAGTTCGGTCTGTAATCTAAAATCAAAACTCTATAAAATGTAAAGGCAAAACCCCAATGTAATCGTGGCTTTGTCCACCTTCGCGCCTATATTTAACCCTCGCTTGTTGGGGAGTTTCTGTCTAAAAAGGTCGATTCTGTCCGCATCTGACCCACTATGAAATAGAAATTGACAATACCTGGAGAATGTTACGTAATCATATCAAAGGTAGCGTGTAGTTATTAAAGTCGGTTCATTGTTGGAAACGGAAGGTTCATTTATAACGGATCCAAACAATGAGCGAAGCCAACCAGGACTCTTATATTTTTAATGTTTTCGCATTACACATTGCGATAAGAAACTATAAGGAATATATGTGTATATTT